CCCCGTTCATCGAGGACGCAAGGCATATCCGCCGCCGCGCATGGCAACTGTCTGACGAGACACAACGCCAATATCCCCAGCCCAGTAGGAGCGCTTGCACGGGCACTATCCCGCCCATGTTTTTGGTGGCACGGGCAGACAGATCAAACACAAACAAATGCTTCTTCTCCAAATTAAAAAATCAAAAATCAAAAATCAATTGACAAGCAAACAAGAGCAGATGATGAAGACAACCACGATCAAGGACTGCTTCAGGATGGATGGCGGGGAACAGCCACGAGTTGGCAAGAAGACTATCACTTTTGACGTCATGTCACCGCCAATGTGCAACTTGACTTGCGCGTGTATTCATTCAGAGCGCGCAAGACATGGTGGGTAAGTGTGACGGGCCTATGTAATTTTTGCCCCGAGCCGTCACGTGCGTTGCCACTTGATTGTTCTGTCTTGATCAAACAGCTATACGTTTCTGTTGAGAGTGTACGTATCTAAAGGCAAGGTAAGCTTAATGTAACTACAGTTTGTGTATACATAAAAGCAGTTAATGCTGCTGTGCGAAACGAAAGTATGCTTAACGTGCTGGCACGCGCGCAAACCTCAACTGCCAAAAAAAAAACCGCAGAGAGGATGAAGTTGAGCGGTTTTTTTTGCCAAGAGGCAGCAATCGTCCAGCAGGTTCATGCTTCGGAGGGTGGGGCGGGGGCTTGGTTAGGGTTAGGGTTAGGGTGCTGATAAGTCGAGGCTGGCCCATGGTCACCGATAGACAGCTCAGCCATTTGAACAACCCTATCAGCACTCCCTTTCACGTTTCAGTAGATCAAGATGGTGGCACTGCCGGTGCCTATTTTGGCGTAATTTTCAATGGTTTTTTGATCATTTTTGGCCCTGAAGCAGCCTGAACGTTTTGCTGTTGTTATCCTGTTGATGCCAGCTGTGGCTGCCGTGCGGGTGATGCTAGCAGGTACACGTGTGCCATGATGGGCCCTGCCGTTTTTCAATCCCATTCTAGATGTGCTTGCCGGGTGACAGCGGGTACTCGGAAATTCACAAGGATGACATGATGACCTGCGTTAAAAAAGACAAGAAACGGTGCTGAGATCGGCCCGATGGGGATTGGGATGGGTTTCTGATTACTCCCGGATGATGGAATGCTTGAAAACCCCCAAAAAGAGGGTCAGTTAGACAAGAGCATCAGACCGAGTGAACAGGGCATCAACGGTACAGTATGCTCTCGCTTCCCAGTACAACAACCGCGCCCAATGCCTAATCCAAACCAGTCTGGCTGCCATTTGTCAAAGCAAGCACCTCTTGTCCCTCTCTCTCTGTTATCGCACCGAAAGGTAAAGAATTAGAACAGAACAGAAGAAAATCAATGTCGTGTTTCACCATTATTTTTCCTCCCAAGACGACGGGGTTTTAATCATGACACTACAATGAACTGATGACAGCCGTCGCTTTGGCGCAAAATGGGCCGGAAAATAAGCACAAGGGTCAGGAATACTGGAAAAGGGGAGG